ACGTCTATTTTTTTCTAAAGCTTTTCCAACGATTTTCTTCCCGATTCGTTTTAGAATAGTTTTGAGTTACATAAGACGGCACTTGATTCAGATTCTCTTCATCTCTTAGAAGAACAGATTCTTCTGCCTCACTGTCATCAGTAGAATATTCAATCGATTGGCTGGGATCGAAAGAATGATTCAATACAGTATCTGTGACCTTGTCGTCCTCCTCGCTGTCCGTATCGTCGAATGTTCCCTTAAGAGCATAACGACTCATTTTTACCCGTTCACTTGGTTCTATAAAGTTCATTTCAAGTCGTCTATACAAATTTTGAATCATTGTTCGCAGTGGAGTTTTAGCTCGATTACTGGATGAAAAGTAAAGACGAGACAGTAAGTCGTTTGACTTTTCAACTCCCTGCATGTCATATGCCGTCAAGTTTTCATTTTCATCCTGTTCAGCTAGATGAGTACCAATTAGGTGCATGTAAGGTGTGCATCCAGTTCTCAATCCTGACTGACGAAAGTCTCTTACAAAAGACTTTGCAACATCAGCTAGAATACTTTTTCTTTTAGATTTCTCTGTCTTGATAAGTTGGAGGATGACCTTAAATTTGTTCACTAAATTTTTCGCATTGTTAGAAATGTTATCATTTTGAATAAGTTTTTCATAAGGAAATGAGTCAACAAAGAACACTTCTTGCAAATGACCGGAGAAACGACCACATGATACGATCGTTTTTACATTATTCTCTGTTTCAATTTTGAAGAAAAAGCGTTTTCCAATAGTAGCAATAGAATGTTTGTTTAAAATTTCAACTTTTTCTTCCAATTTTCTGGTGTGTGCTGGTTCATATTCCCCTGTTCGTGATGCTTCAGCTAAAATATCCTTCAGAAGAATATCAAAAATTCTTAATCGCATGTGAAGACTGTCAATTACATAATCGCTAAACTCGAACAAATCTCCAAAGAGAGGTTCAGATTGATAACCCAGCTCATTGTTTGCCCCAGTTTTCTCTTTTTTTGCTAGACACTCACATTTCTCTTTGAGAGATCGAGCACCACGAGTAGGATCATACGAAGAGGTAGGATTAACAATGGTCTTTTTTTTTTGTTTCTTTTTATTTTTTCCTGTTCCTACCCATATCTCTTCTTCACATTCTGTATTTTTCTCGGTCACATGCAAATACGACTTGCTCTGTGTACAAAAAACACAAGGATAATTACTGTGAACACCAGCCAGACCGAACACATAGATTGCATTTTGAAAGTCTCCTCCTAGTCGAACTTTAACAGCTACACTTTTCTTTCGAGTGACTTTCAAATGTTTTACAGATTGAATAGAATCGAGAAAGTCTTTTGGTAAAGTTTTACGCAAAAGTTCATTCGACTCTTTCTGAATTTCAAAAATACCAACAGGTACTAGTTTTCTAGCTGTTTGACAAGATGGCCCTCCATCAACACAATTGACTGATATAGCTACAACATGTTTATTACCTATCAAAGTACCATCCATGTTTAAGCGAAAGGAAAGCTGATTTAACTGTAAAAGATCAGGACGAAATTTATTAGCTACAAAAATAGCTGTTCGTAAAGCAAAATCAAATGGCACGTAGGCAGAATCTTTTGTGAATGTTACAGGAATTTTCTGGTTAGCTTTATTTCGTACTTGCTCAATCTCTGCCATTGAATAAAAAGTTTCATTGTTTTCATGAAAAAATTTATACATAGCTTTGATAGCTGAATCGGTGATATGATGTTCATCTTTTATATGAAGAAACTGTCTTCGAAGTTCTTCTTTTTTAGCACTAACACCACTTTGCTTATCCATCTTTTTAGAGGTAGAGATTGAATTTGGCTGCCAAAGGTCATCTTGTTCATCAGAGCTTTCTTTTAGATCACTGCTTTCACAATCAAATGGCACCAGCTGGTTTTTTCTTTTGATTCCTCTTGTAGAATAGATAGGCCCCAATAAAGCATCGAGATCAATATTAGTCTCTCTTGAAGAACATGATTCTGAATCATAAAATGTAATAGTACAATTGAAAAATTTCGATTCAACAATCCCAGTTCGCCTATCTAAAATGGTCGTTTTTATAATTTCTTCATTTTTTGCAATATCAAGCATCAATTGTCGTTTGTGACAATATGCTGTTAAGATAGTAAGAATCTCATCAACATCAATGGTTCTATTTAGATCAAAACCTTCGAGTGCCCGAAGAGCAAATGATTCACTGATATGCATATGCAAACATGCATTTCCAGGTTGAATGCATACTATATCTTTATCTCGAACTAGTAAAACACGATCGGATGAACTGATACATTGATATGTATCAAAATTAAACGACAAAAATTCATCAGTTTTATTTACAGATTCGACAGCATTCGAATGGAAAACGAATGTTTTTGTTTCCATTAATATCTTCGTCACGGTCATATGTTTAACTTTAGCTTTTTTTTTTGCATCGCGAACAAAACAACTAAGTTCACTACAGAGTTGGCGACGCATCATCGATACGTTAACATAGAGTTTCACAATAGAATTAAAACAGTAACAACAAATCTCATTTATAAAATTAGAAATGTTGATAGGTTTCGAAGAACGGTTTAAAAACTCGAAAAAAATATCTTTCATGTAGACAAAGTTGGTGTACATCATTAGTCCTTTCTCGTCCGTGTACTCAAATGTTAGTTGAGGAACTTGTTGGAGAACATCATTTTTTGATAGCACATATTCTTGTTGATCACTATGACTGTTATTTGTATCCATAGAAGAAACTGAGCTAGGACTTGAAGAACTACTATTGATAAGAGACCGTGGTATATATACAGCCAAAAATTTTGTTTCAGCTTTCTTCTGAGAACGAGCAAGATACGATGCATTTTTACAAGAGTTATTCAGGATAGACTCGCTAACATGAAGATTTTGTTCCAACAAGTGAGATGAAACTTTTTCTTTCATTTCCATTAACAAACTGATAGAATCCAATGACTTCCATCCAGGAATTTCTATTGATATTTTCAACGATTTTTCACTCATTCTGATATATTAGTTTATAGACATGCAGTAACTAAATACTAATCGAAGGAAAAAAATAAATGCAAAAAAATGTAAAATTATAAAAGAAAAGACGACTTATCCTCGCAACGATATTAATTTGGGGACAAAAAATGCTAAAAAATTAAATAAATTTGTCTATTTCTCTATGAACTATTTTATTTTATAGATATAAAAAATAAATCTTATTTTTATTCGATAAAGAAAGCATAAAAACCTACAACAGCACATTTCTATTTAAATTGTAACTGTGTGTCTTGTTATTCAAATTTTAAAATAAAAAGAAAAGTTTAAATCCTGTTCTCTTTAAAAAGCAAAGAAAAAAAAAAGGTATTTGTTACACTGAGCTATTCAACAATAGGAATCAATAATGAAAATATACAAATCGGCAACTTTTTTTATCACAATGTTATACAAAATTTTAAAGTATATTCAAGTTTTTTGTCCTCGAAGATAATAGATATTGATTTGAATTTCGGTTTTGGTAAAACATAGGTAGAAAGTACTTTATTTATAGAAAAAACAGCTGTACCTGAACAGATAATATTAGATGAAATTAATATAATTTTTGATCGAATAGCTGATGATTGAGAATAATGATGCAAATAGTTCTAAAAATAGAAAGCTGTAATGAGATGCTGAATATACATTGAATAATAATATGTATGTCACATCGAAATTACACCGGTCAACGAAATTATAACTTCGTCACATAATTGTGCCGAAGTTACTGTAATTCAAACAAATAAAAAGCAATTATCAATTGCTTGATAATATGATAAATGTTTTATATATTTACAGTTCATTTTTCATTTTAAAAATGTATATAGTATTTTTCCGAATACATAGAAAAAATTAATCTTTTTTATTAAAACTTTATATGGGTATCGGATTATGCTGACCATACTAATGCTTGTAACTAAAAAAAGAAATCGGTAGAATATTATATTCTGAGCTAAACAACACTTTAGCTTTATATTAATAAAAAAAAATACTCCATATAAATGTTAGTTAAATGCTCACCAGAGTTTCTCTATTTACAGGTATTAGTATGGTCAGCATAAATTGATGATCATATTAACTTTTAACAAAAACAAAATTAATTTTTTTTAATAATTTTTTCTATGTATTTAGAAAAATAATATGTACATTTTTAAAATGAAAAATGAACTGTAAATATATAAAACACTTATCATATCCTTAAGTAATTGATAGTTATTTTTTATGTGATTGAAATAAAGTAACTTCAGCACAATTATGTGACGATGTTATAAGTTCATCAATTTTGTCTGACGAAATTATAACTTCATCGACTAGTGTAACTTCAATACGAAATACATAAAATAAGACTGTCTAATTAAATTAAGGTTTTTTGTTGATAAAAATAAGTTTCGAAATAGGATAATTCCCTTTAAAGGTTCTTAACAGTCAAATTATATTAAAAAAAATGAAGCCAAAAAATTCATTAATCTTTTCGAAATCAAAATAATCATATCTATTCAAGTTTTTCTTTACTTATTGGTTAACTATAGCTTATGATGATCATATCGAGCCTATATTTGAGCATTTGTGTCTTTCTTATCGACATCGACATCAACATACATAAAATGTTATGTTGATTTTTTTCGTAATTTTTTTAAAGAAAATATCGATCTTTACTTATATTATTCTCTTTTGAAATCATAGTCGATATTAAGAAAGATCCAATTAAGTGATATTCAAACAGTATTAATGCACATCCTTTAGTCGTTATGGAGATCAATGATTTTTTTTTCAATAAAAGTCAAATGTTCTCACTCTCAATAAAGAAGAGGTTTATTAAATTTCATTATCAAGATGAGTATAGGTTGACAATATTTTACTAGTTCTATACAGTTACTGATCTATATTAATTTATCTTTTTCGGATTATTTAAATAAATATATTTAATCTTGAATGGATAAAAATCTTTTGAAAGGAGCACATAGTGAATCGAGAGATTTACTAAATAAATACTACCAGAAAGTTATTAATTGAAATCATATTGAAATCAATATTTTTTTTAAAGTTACAACTCTTGGAACACCCGCAACGCGAAAAAAAAATTTTATTAAATATCAATAAGGCAGATAGTACCTGATTTTTTTTGTTATCAATTATTAAATGTTAATAGAGTTTGAAATAAAATTAAGATCAATTATCAATGACAAAATCAATCAAGTATGAATGAATCTGAAATGATATTAAAATTATATGTGTGTGAGTACGTGTTGTACGTTTGTGAACGTTTGATGAACGAAAAGAGCTAAGCTATACGACACATACATAGACACATCCGTCAACCGTTCTTTTTTTCTTGTCTTGAAGCTTCGAAGAGCGCCATTTATCTAACAGACTGTCATTGTCTTACCAAACAAAGATGTCTACCACGTGTATCTCGCTGTCTTCTTCATTGACTGTCTATGGCGTTTTCTTCAATCATTTCCTATTAAATCATTTCATTCACTTACCAAAATCTTTGCACATAATTGAAACATGTCGGAATTTGAACAAGAAAACCAACGTCAAGGTCAAGCTCAAGATACCACCATCGAAAATTCTTCGTCGATACAAACAGAAAAAAATAAACAGGTGTTATCAATGAAAATAAAAAATAAAAAAAATTACAGAAACGTTTCGTATTATTCTTGGACAAACAAAAACAAAAATAAAAACAACAACGGTCAATTATTTAGAAAATATCCTGCATCCATTCGAGAAGTATCATATGGTTCATCTGTTATTGGTCCTACAACATGGCAAAGTAAGACATATGACATAAATATATGTATATTATGCGCCTAGAAAACAGTTAAAAATTTGAGAGAATATCCGAATTTTTATCTTACTTAATTTCTAAACGCATAACATTCAATTATATAAAACTACCAATATTTCGGAACTTAAATATTTTCTTTTATGACATAGGTCCGCAACCATTGATGGCACCAACTAATCAATTTTTGGTTACCCACTGTTGTATATGTTCCGCTTATCAATCACATTCTTGTACTAGAAAGTTTTAATTCATTAACAGAAAAAAAAGAAAGAGAATAAGAATAAAAAGAAAAAAAGAAAAAGAAAAAAAAAAGAAAGTTCCATTTCTACTAACATCTTCAATTCTAGATACGAATCTCATCTTCTTCTATTCTACACAAGCTGCCGACTTTATTATTCTTTCACTACTGTCACTCTTTCATTCCATATATTATTTTCTTTTTCCTACTCGATTATGAAAACATACGCTCTCCGACCTAATCGCCCAATAACAGGCGATGGATCATTTAGAAATATCCATCTTAGACCACATCCTGATGATGTATTTGATTGTCCAAAAATAAGAGGACCGGCTAAAACTCGCTGGTTGAGAGGAATAGCTGCTCATCTTCAATTAGCTATTGCTCGAGCTACATCTGATGAAGCTAAAGGCCAGAAAAGAACCGCTAAAATTTCACTCTCAAATGCTGCAACTGTAATAGCATTAGAGAAAATTGGTATTAAAAATAAGTGGGTACCATGTCCTGATCTTCTTCAATTACTCGATCTCAATACCACCTTTGTAAAAGGTGACTTTGTTAGAAAAGCGAATCGGCTTGAATTCAAGCAATTCCAAAAGATAGGTCATTATTTCGATGGTCATAATGAACCTCGAAAAACAGCTGTGGCTCACTATCTGTCTTTTCGTCTCCTAAAAGAAACACCACAACCCCACATTCTAATCTGATTCTATGATCTCATGAACCAGATTGATGTACATAATGTAAATAGAAAAAAAAGAAAAAAAAATCTTTTATTGACATATCTTCCTTCGGGCCGAATGTCAAAAGAGAGAGAAAAAAGTCTTTTTTCAAATATATTTTTTCTTCTGGTTCTTCTTTCCCTTTTTCTTCTTTTTCCCATACATTTGTTATTAAAAATCAGTATATCTCAATAAAAACGGTACATAAAAATAAGCAAAACTTTTAAAAAAGGTATGAAAAAATTTTAGTTCTTTTTTTTGTCTATTATTTCTTGCTCTTTTATCGTTTGCTATGCAATATATTTTTTTATGATTTGTCAGGATTCAGAAGTGTCTGATTATGATGTTTGCAAGACAAAATACTGATCCTGACCCTTTTGTTTCATTGTCATTTGATACAACTCAATTGATTATAGATTGAATTTAAATGTCTATCACAGATTGAGTTTGTTTCTCATGTTCAATGTACTCAAGGGAAAGGATAAATTCGTCGATATTAAAATATAATTTAAAATAAAAATATTACTTTTAAATTTTCTTCTTTCTTTTTAATTCTTTTTTAGTAAATACAATTTTTTATTATATCATCATTGCTCAAATAATAAAAGCCTCAACAAACGGTGTTGATTGTATTATTTATTATTTTTTTTAAATTTACATTTTATTAATCAATTTTATGTTTTGTTTTTTTTATTTAGACAATGCTCAATTGAGAAAATTATTTTCTTTTTTCTTCTCTTCAATATTTCAAATGATCATCTATGAAAATAGTAAGATGAATTCTTGAAAAAGAAATAATTCTTTTATTTTATTATATATAAAATATTTGCTACTGTTTTCTTTTTAGATGTTTAAAATCTATTTGTTTACTCTCTAATACATACTTGTCTTTTTCTTTTTTAGTTATCCTACGTCATGGAGTTGTATCATATTTGTTTGATTTACAACACATATATTCTTTCTGATTATGGGATGTTAATGTAAGATGAGAACTAATTAAATAATTAAAATTATTTTTGCTTTATTTTAGATTCTTTTAAAATCAAATGGATGCTTATGCAGTTAAAAATAAATTTACTTTCATGAACAATAAACAAGAAGATCTATTCTTTCTCTTTTCATTCCGAACAATCTATTATATGTTTTTATGTTGTTACATTTTTTACATGATTATATTAATAAATTGTTTAGTGATCATGTGAAATTCACGTTATAAACTAATCGAGAAATTTTATAATATTGGATAAAAAGAAAAAATATAGTAGAAAAAAATCAGATTCAAAGGTTCTATTTGATGATGAACATAAAAAATAATAGAATTCTTAAAGAAAGAAATTTGATTTTTATCAAGTGAATAAAAAATGATTTTTATAGATCAAGTTTTATTTGAATAAAAAGAAGGATTATTATTAACAATCTTTTTAGAGAAAGAAGTTGAAAAACATTGACCAAACATCAGCATTGCATAAATAAAATAAGTCTTTTTTTAATTGAGAAAAAGTTTTTTTTTTCTATTCATTCAAGCAAAACTACTTGTGAATATTGTATAAGAGAATGTGTGTTGAAGAATGCACATGGTGCTCTACTCTTTGCTCGTTTCTTATCACCATAGCAATGATGATAATAATCGATTGATAGAAACAAAAGAAAGGTGACAGAAAAAATATGAATAAACAATTCAAAGGATAATTTTGTTGATATTTGTTTTGATTCAAATCAAAGCAAGAAAAAGATTATATGAACGAATACCTATATATGAATAAAGAAGATGAAACAACAAGAGATGTTTGATAAGTTGTTAAATAATTTAAATGTTAACATCAATCGTTTAACTTTCAAACGATTATTAATTTTTTTTATAATTATTCAAATCTTTTTTTTGTAAATTAATCATCATTTCAACATTAGAGTCAAACTCAATTCTTTTTTTTTTCTTTCCTTCATATATTGCATACGTTCTATGTGAACAGCTATATAAATGTACGCATGCGCGTTCAAAAAAAAAAGAAGAGAGAGAAAAAAAAGATATTGCCGTGGTTCTTGCTGGAGAATCTTTTTAAAAAAAATTTTGCTGGGGACTTGAGCATACGTATCTGTGAAAATTTCACCATATACTCAGTTTTTCACGCTCTTTCGAATGATGTAATTTTTATCCACTCTGCACGCAAAAAAAAATTTTCGACAAGTTGATATGTTTTGGAGGAGAATAGAACAAATAGACGAAACAGACGAGTAAAGGCATCGTTCAAAATGTCAATATTTGGATTTTATTATTACAATGTAAGGTAAGTGACACATGTGGCAATATAAGGAGCGACTAAAATAGTACTGTTTCTATACACAGTTATTTAACACAAAATCCATCTTCAATAATAAAGAGAAAAGACTAAAATAA